AACATGTTTCTACTCTAATCAAGTCCATCCAACAAACAAAAAATGCAACACCGTCGCGACGTTCACATGCCCTACACTGCGCATGAAGCAAGACCCCCGGAGAAGTGCGTATTGCTCCCCGCGAATTTAACTCCGTCGACCTCATACCCGATGGAGTAGAATACGGTACCAACCGCGTCAGTACCGTTCACGTTGATACTCCAGATCGAATAGTCGGCGTTCGCAGCGACGGGCTGCGCCGGGCGCGCGATATCGGTTTCCAGAATGGTTATACGCCCGGTGCTATCGGTGCTCATCCGTTCGAGGAACACGCGCGCTGGGTTGAATCCGTCGCGGACCTATGCCGCATCAGGATTTAGTTGATTCCGATTTAGTTGATTCCGAGTTTGAATATATTCAAACGTAGACGAATGGATACGCACCGCAACGTCCATCCGCCACGGGGACGGCGAGGCTTGGGAAATCGAACACGATGTCTCCGAGTAGACGACGCCATCCTGCACGGCAAACCCCACGCCGTCTTGGTCCTCCAGCGTGCCATCCACGACGAAGCGCATACTAGTGATGCCCGCAGAGGCGTTAAGCAACAGGACCAGGCCGTCCGGGGGGTTCGTCGGGTCGGGGCTGAACGTGTACCACGACGCGTTGTAGCGACCGGCGGCAGCGGAGGACACGCCGGACGCAGTGAGCGTCGCATTGCCTGTGCCACCGAGATGGTCGTCCCAGAGCAGGCGTACCGTGCGTTGGGGGTCCGCTGTCGTGTTCCACAGCTACATACGCGCAGACATTCAGCACGTACAGATGGTGGAGGGATCCCGGCACGTACCCGCACTTCGCCGGACAGTTTGAGGGTGTCGCCAGCCAGGCTGAGGACGATGCCCTGCGGCTTAACCCGCAGCGGCGTGATAATTTCCGTGAGTTCAACCTCCCGCGGCACGGTATCCAGCATCCGTGCGATGAGATCCGCGCAGGTCTATGCAAAGAGCTCCGGTGAGTCAGCGAACCTGCGCAAAGATCAGTGTTGAACCCGCAAGCTAAATGGGACGGCTCACGATTTCATAGTGACGTTCCCGTCGCTGCCAAATATGCGCTTATCGGAGTTGGTCGTGTCGTTCAAGCCAACGACGAGAGGATTTTGAGTTGTGTCCGACATATATTCGATTGCCCTGTGGGGCGGTCAGCACGAAGTAATAAACATGCGTACGATCTCACACGTTATTGTCAAAGTGAGTGAATGTTGAATCAAAGTGTGCTGCCGACTGGGTATTGTTGGGATCGTTTATCTCAGGCACGGTATCCGGGAATGCTGCATGTTGCACACCACCAAATGTGTGTCTGTAGACGTTAGGTTCAGAATTGTGGGTCTGAATAAGTAAAATACGTACCCGCATGCAACGAGACTGATCATCTCAGTTTGAGTAAATCCCTGGCGAGCGAAGGCCGCTATATGTGAATCCAAGTCCTGCTGGGGCTCGGGAACACCAGGGGCGTTCGGCTCCGTAGCATCCACGCGTCCCCCACGGAAGGCAATTTCGGGTCCTCCACTGCCAAACTAATTAAAACCAACTGGTGTGATGAAAATGAGGACAGAATCACCAATTCTCAATCGCGACGATTGTGCCCAGTGCGAGACTGTCGGCCACTGCGATGATTAGACACTGTCACACAGTACCGTAAATGCTGTGGACCTACAGCTGACATATCGGTTAGCGATAGTTCGAAGTGCTTGAAAGGTATTATTAAACCCGTCACCGATATTCTGTGCAGATGGGGTCAGAAGCGCAGAAACCAGTGTGGTGCACCTACCTCGGCGCGCAAACTTTCTTCCGCAAAGCGGATGGAGGCGTCCAGGCCTCCTGTGCCGTCTGTGACGTTGTGTGTCGCCATATCATGGTACGCCGTGCGAACCCAGTCGGCTACATCAGAACGTCCGGTTTTGCTGGTGAGGACGTTGGGCCCGTCGAACAGATACCGGCCGCAGGGTTCGATGAAAACTGTGATCGCGCCTGAGTTATGACCATCCTGGTTGAACCGCAGAGATTCGAGAGCGTCTAGCTTCGGGGATGGCCAGACGTATGCGCTGGCGCCTAAAACAGAGAGAGAAAAGAGTGTGATACGCAGCATTTGTGTCGACGAATTGTTTTGTGGTAGCAGGCTTTTAAGTAGCTATAGGCGTCCTGCATCCCTCGTGGTTTCCGAAAAGTTCGTTGTCATCGAGACAATAGCCGGGAAATGCGCAGTAGCTCCCACAGACGGTTTCATTTTGCCATGAAAGATGCATGGAACCGAGGCGACTCACTGGTAAGCGTGCCTCGCGCGACTTTCTGACTGTGGGCCTGGCTCTACGTGTGCTAGTATTAGTAACGGGTGTGAAAAGACCTCGGAATGTTTCTGAACCGATGAACTAGGGAGCATCGGATCTACATACCAAGATGATCTAAGGGGTAGGCGCGCCGCATCCATTTGCAGATCAGGTCCCAATTTTTGGCGAAGCCGGCCTTTGCAGCCCGCCAGGATTACTTATTAGCGCTTGGCTGCATGCTTGGCTGATCATCATCCACGGCGTCGGCAGTATTCATTTTTTTTCAACCATCCCGAATTGGCGAGTTGGGGCGGAGGGAAGAGATCCAGATGGATTTGGCCCCCGCAAGTGGGTTTTCATCTTATTCATGCAGCGCCGGCCAATTATTTTGCAGGGAAGTGAAGGTAGCTTGATCTCGGCCAATCGGCAGGGTCTCGGAATGTTCCGGTGGCGCCTTGCCTCAAACGTTCACCATTGCCACTCTCATATTCTGCGGAAGTCTTCCGCATCTCCCATCCATCTTTGCTTGTGTCCTGCAGTGTGACCTCCCAGATCTATGTGCAAGATGCCATTCTCGCTTACCTGTGCGGATCGAGGGATCAAGATTCTCTTCAGGCTCTTTTCGTCAATAGAGAATTCGGGGAGTCGAATTGGCCGTCAGAAACATCGATGCAGCTTTTCCTCGCTGAAAAAACACAATGCATCCTGCTATATAAGGGCTCCGGCGACCCATGAACCGCACTTGATTCTGCCTCGATTCTGAGAAATGACTTCCACCGCAACTCCAAGCCGTCGTGTTAAATACAGTGAGTAGCATATGTTGATTATTCACCAGACCATGCATTTGATACCCTCCCAAGTGCGCCTCGGGAACTCTGGTCTCAAAGTGTCCCAGATTATCCTCGGATGCATGTCTTACGGCTCTTCTGAATGGCGGCCCTGGACACTCGACGAAGAGGAATCTATCAAGCACATCAAATACGCGTAGGTGACCTTCACCATTGCCTTTCTGTTCTCAGGCTAAAATTTTAACCCCCTAAGTTATGAGGCCGGGATTCAGACCTTCGACACCGCTAATGTACGCCAAACTCAATCCCAACTTGTAACGTTGTCTCGAGCACTTAATTTTCTCATCCAGATGTACTCGAACGGAATGAGTGAAATAGTCCTCGGAAACGCAATCAAGAAAGAAATCGTTGTAATGACCAAGGTAAGTCTTTTTGGTGGCACGACGACACGGCGGTGATGCGAGTACGCAGGTCCGCCACCCCGTCGGCAAACATTCGACGTAAACCAGCAAGGGCTATCGTGCAAGCATTTTTGGCCTCGGTGCAGGGTAGCCTGAAGCGCCTTCAGCTCGATTACATCGATGTTCTGCAGTGTCAGCTCTTCATCAATTTCTTAAGTATTGTGGTCCCGAGTCCTGACCAAGATTTAAAGGCAACCGGTTTGATTACGAAACGCCAATTGCTGAAACCGTGGATGTTGGAATTAATGTTTCGTCATCTGTTCCTCATTTCTTTTCGTTAGATGGAGGCCCATGAGGTCGTCAACTTCCGGATATGTTCGTTATATTGGGATGAGCTCGTGCTATGCCTGGCAGTGTGAGATCTGCAGCATCTAAACTCCGTGTAATTCGACAACACTATTTTGCAGTTCATGTCATGCAAAGTGCGCTACAGGCGGATCCTCGAAAAGCTGTTGGCCCACTGATAATGGTTTCTAGACTATGCGATCACGCACAACCTCACCCCGTTCATTTCAATGCAGAACCACTACACTGACCTCCTTCACCGCGAGGAGGAGCGCGAGATGATGCCTTCGCTCAAGGTACATCCATCCATTCTCCATTTCCTTGTCTGGATTATTTTACCACCGTCCAAACCTAGCCCTTTGGCGTTGGCTCTACCCCCTGGTCTCCCCTTGCACGGCGGTGCGCTCACCCGTCCGGCGGGCGCGGCAACATCCGCAGCGGAGAAGACATTACGCCAGGAAAGTGAATCGCTCGACGCGAACAACGCGTATCACCTGACCGCGATGGGAAGAGAACGTGACACTGGCACTTTTTCTGCGCTGCATCGACCAAGTCCTTGTCCGCTCACCGTCTTCGTCGCTGGCCCCGCAGTAAGATTAATTTCATAATGTAATCCATTCCCTCATATTTTCCGCCACCAGTTTGGAAAGACCGTACGCGGACATGCTTTACACCAACGTTGTATCCTCGGATGAAGTGATTGGAGTTAGGTTCTAGTTGGAGACCCGAATTGGACCCGAAGGTAACTTGGGTACTTAGTCGAGATCTCGGTACCAACGTTTCCTTGGTTGATTTCTTCGGCACCTTGTCATCTCGCAGCTCCCTTGGCGGACGCGATTGTTGATTGGATGTGCTTTCCACTGGCTTCTGAGTGTGAACTTGAATAGCTCCGGGATGACCGAAGCACAATGCAGCGGGATATAATACTAGACCCGCCTGGGAGTGGTGACAATATCATTGCAAATGTCAAGGTGGTGAAAATCCAATTAATTCGTCCGAAATTGAGTAAACCCTAAAGGTTATGATCCCGCCTTGGAGAGGCCTTTTCGACGTCATTTTACTTATGTGAACAGCTTTTCGGTGATCATCCTGCAGACGGATGAATTTTGAACTTCAACACTCATGACACATCATGACGGAAGATCTGATGCCGCTACCGACAGCGCATTAATGGGGTAGTGGTAACCTGGGTCGTTGCCATGTACATTACGTGGAATGCCTATCGACCCGCCGGGGGTTCGATTCCCCCTTAATGCATTCCGACAATCGCTGTTTTTGTTGTTGGGTATTGCAACAGGGAACAGTCAATCAACTTTCCGCGATTGGCGAGCGCTCGCCGACGGTTAGCCGATTGCCAAGCCTTACGGGCCGTGATCTGAGGACCCCGGAAATAAGATAGTACGTAGGTAGCGTAAATATAGGGGTATGGTCGGACTTGACTTACCTGTAAGATACAGGGATTCAGCGAATATAAGACTTTCATGAGGCAAATCAGCTACTTCTGAAGCTTCAGATTCAGAATATCCATTGATTTGAATCATTAACACGAGGCTATCCGATACGATAATCTTTGGATAATCACTGTCCTTGCTCCCGCCCCCAATGGCAAAGGGAAAGCATCGTGTGTCTCCCTTCCATGACCTCCCGAACGTGCGACTCACCAACTCTCAATAGCCCCCGAGGATTGGCTTTATCCCAAAATCCGGGAATATTCTGCCCAGCATGGTCATGGTGACCGTGAGATGGCAAAAGCTATCCTGGCGGACATCGACAAGGAGGAAAGTTTTAGGGGGAAGAACTATACCATGAGGTACCCTCAGGTCTATCTGATTTTTGGGATTCTCAGTCAATCCTGCCAGTGAATCCGGTTGCTACCGTATACGCAAAACTCTAGGGCTCAAGGGAACGCGGCAACAGAAGAAAGAGCCCGGGGCCTATGACAATGTTCCTCAAATCATTACAAAACTGCGCCCCACTTATCCAAACATGGGAGCGCGCTCGCTGGTCGTGTTGCTGAGATGGGAGCACAGAGTCAAGATCCCCGAGTACGTTGCTACGCTCGGTTTCAATTCAGGTTTTGAAAACTATTCACAGAAAGGATGTGGCCGATATATTGAAGCAGATGGAGCCTGAAAAGGTTGCTGCACGCTACGGCCGTCGTTTCAAACGCTCGCGTTTCTACAGTGCAGGCGTGATGGAGATTCTGAGCTTTGACCAACACGACAAGTGGAAGTATTACGGGCTCTACCTCCATCTTGGCATGGACCCTTACACAGGTCGTCTTCATTGGAACAAGATCTGGTGGACGAATCGAAATACGGCCCTTGTCACATCTTACTATCTCGGAGCCGTGCACCGGCAGAATAGTGCGTACACAACTCAGAATTGTCTTCAATTTTTCATTCTGATCATTGCAGCTATGCCTCTCCTCACCTTCAGCGACACCGGCCGCGAGAATAATGGCATTGCCAAATGTCATTCAACCATGCGTCAACGACTTGATCCCTCTCTTAGGGCAGGCAACCGTAACCGTGGAAGCACGGAATACGGCACCGTAATACGGTTACAGAGCCGTGCCGTGGAGCTTGTCAGACTTTGGCATGCGGCACGGACACGACACGGGAGCAAGCCGTGTGGACCGTGCGGTGACACGACCGTCTTTTTATGCCGTTTACGGCCGTAACGGCTACACAGAGCCCCACGGTCTCCGTACCGCGTGCAGGAGTACCCTGTCACCACCCGGGCCGTAATAAGATGGCCGTGTTGGCCACGGCCATGGCCGTATACGGCACGGTTGCCAGCCCTACCCTCTCTACGTGGGACCATACAGCACAAATGGTTTTACGATAAGATGAACATAAAATCTGAGATTAGCTGGGGTCGCCTTCGGCGTGGTTGGGCAACAGGTTTTGAGATGCTGCTTGACCAGGGAGAAATTCGTGGGATCATCGACTTCCCACGCCGAGACCCTATCGAAATGTTTGTATCTTTAGTTGCTCAAGATCTAGACTCTGACGCACCTTCTAGCTTCCTCTTTTGCTGGCTTTTCGTCCCGTACTTGCAAAACGAGCTCGATGTATGGACCAAACGGCAGAACGGCAGCATGCGGCGCGCGTACAAACACAAAATCCTACCGCATGGGATCCCAGATGAAATTCACGAGAATCCCGGCAAATTTCGAGGCCAGAGCTTTGCGGTTCGTGTCTCAGGACTGGATACCTATTTCTCACTCTAGAAACAGGTGCACGTTGACAACAATTTGTTGGATGAGATGGAGGCGCTTTGGGCTCCTCCTGATAACCCTGTTTTTGAACTGACGTCTAGGTCATTCCACGCGCGTGTACAACAGCTCTACACTGACATCGGATGCCCTACAATTGAGTACGCATCAATTTGGAACGTCTTTGAGGAGCTCAAGGATCGGCTCGAGCAGGAGTTGCAGGATGGAGATCGGGAGGTGGTGGCAACCGAGTTCAGGACATTGGAGCAGAACTTTGAGCAGGACGCTGATTTGGTGGATGTCGCGCTGCCAGGGGAAAATTCAGAGGACGACCCATTCTTCGACGACCGGCTCTTCTCTGACGACGAGCAGGATGATATTGATGATGATGAAGCGGAATATGAGATTGAGCTGACAGAGGATGAGGACGCTTCGGACGAGGACGAAGTCGAGGATTATCTGACACAGCAATGCACATAGAGCACCAACATATCTTGTATTGTGTTTAATTTTTCATACTGGATTCCAGACAGTATGACGTTTGGATTGCCGATTTATTATTCACACAAGTATTGCAAGTATTTCTCTCTCTCACACAACGTTCCGACTCTCACATAACATTTCAAAGTCTCACACAACTTCTTGTACATTTGGCACACAACCTCTGATGGCTTAGTTCGAGGAAAACATCCAAGTAATAGACGAGAACACTCACTTTTGTTCCCAGGTGATTGTAGTGGACAACTTCAGACAGAGTCTGATTGCTTGGCTTTGTTGTGTAACATCTTTGAGGACGATGGAGACTCTGTAAAGATTAGTAAGCTCTTTACAGAGTCTCCATCGTCCTCAAAGACATTACACAAACAAAGCCAAGCAAATAATACTTATATGCCCAAACATAATATATATATATATAAACAAGATATGGCTCCACTGAAGCTCTTGGAATGCAATTAAGATTCATTTTTGCCAACAACCGAGCTGAGAAAGTGGGCAGGAAGCCAGATCAAATCGCCTAGGCACACTTTACGATCATAATTTGATCGTAAAGTGTCTAGGCGATTTGATGTGTCCTGTCACAAATCATGCCCTAGTGACAAGACGCGTAGACCCTGGGGAGCCGTTATGACACCATAAATGCTGACTCCATTTGAAGAGCTTCAACGGAGCCAAAAGTGAAGAAAAGCAGGCTATTAGAGATTAGAGATAGCCCTTAGCTACAAAAATGACCGGTGAATTATCCCTCAACCCGGCGGGTCAGGTCCAGGTATGCCGGGTTGAGGGAAACGAGTACCGCGACCCATCAACCCAGGGGGTTGACACGTACCCATGCCCAACACTAGTACTACTCAGTTAGACATGTACATTTGCTTTTAGAATTGACGCCCGAGTTGGATATCTCAGAGTCAGACTGGAGTAGAAAAGGAGTGTTTCTTGCATGTAACTGACTACGTACATGCGACACAATTATTTTGAGTGAGTAAGCTATTCAAAAAGAACGACGACAAACAAGCGAGAGGGGTAATGAATTTAGTCGCGCGACTCCAGCCGTGTTGGCACGAAGTCGCTGAGCGGAGTGAGTTGGAAGTCGTGGCAAAAGAGTTGCAGACATGCTGCTCGCAAAGTTGTGGAACGCAGCAGGGATATTGCCGCCTGCAAAGATATCACCAAGATCCCTAGGAAACCAGTTAGCATCAAACAAGCGGTGAAAGACAGCCGTGCGTACGGGTTAGTGATGAGCTGAGGATCTGTTAGAATGACTGTCTCGTCGTGATCATCACGGGGACCGCCTGCTGATTGTGTCAGATTTGGATGTTAAGAAAGAGGGTACACATACCCTGATAGTCGCTCACAAAGGCCAACCCATTAGAGAGAACATACTGGGCATGCTGGGAGAATGCCAAGAATATCACAACAGTATCATTCTGAACAGAAGGAAGGGGCTGCGCCGAGCCGTTGTGAATATATTTTTTGAACGGGCCGCCAATATATTCCTCCATCATATATACCTTCGCTCGGCTGGCTTCTCCCTGCTCGATAGCCAAGCCTGCTTCCGTGAAGCGCAGCTCAGGAACTTTGAGGCACGGTTTCCAAGTTGGGTTGTCTGCAAACAGTTTTTGGCGCACTGCCGTGACATGAGCGTAGGTCGTGTCCAAGAGAGCGTTGGCCCATTGATGGGTCAGAAGCTCGTCTGTGAGGAATTTGAGCTGTACTATGGAAAGCCGGAGCACCACGCTCTGAAACAAATGATACTATCAGTCCCGGCATGATAGCCGAGGCTGTTCCCTAGGCCGTAGCAGGTGGTTGCTTTGAGTTATGGTGGTATTTACGCTCCTTCAGTGTTGGAAACCAAGAGGAATCCTCTTCAGGAAGGTGCATCTTGATTTCCCTCAGATCCACGCCTCAATGGATGGAAACAGAGTGTGTTTCGACGGCATCAACGATCTTGCAAAAGATGATGGGAGGTCATAGATGGACTCTTGTGCTTTCCTGAAGCTGAAAATGAGTCTTTCATCGGTGTACTTTATAGTTGAATTGCTGGGCAACCTTTCGTTGATTTGTCCGCTGTTTTTGGGTATCCAAGGGTCGGTTCAACCTCTACAGATCACTGGTCGCAGTTGTCCGAGGTCAAAGATCAAGGTTTCCGCTCTACTGGCCCCAATTCGACTGGCCGCTCGGCAGGATGGAGTTAACCCATGAGTTTATGATCTGTAGGGCTGGATGCGGGGTTTTCTGGCCACAGGACAGGTTCAACCCAAATATTGGATTTCCTCTGTTGTTGAGCGAGAATGAGACCTCGTACCAACCAGGAATTTCAGCTGAGACATACCAACACATTTAAACCATGAAAACACCTCCCCAGCCCAGCTTGAGTCCAACACATTTATTTCCATGGGTTGTTCAGCTGTCCCGGGCATCTCGGAGATGTCGAAACCTATGTTTAAAGTATTTATTTCATGTCTTCTGAGGTCCCGGCCATTCATAGTGTACTCAGAACGTGTGTACGGCGTTAGAGGCTCCTAGCAGCTAGATATTA